TGTACAATCTCAAATAGCGTCTGGCCGTCGCTACATGGCAGAGGTTATGAATGAAGTACTGCGGTCCCGAAGCGAGTCACATCGAGAGATGCAAAAGATACAAGCTATCTTGAGACGGATAGCCATGCAGCCGTTCACACCTCGTACTACTGATGGGCACGGAGTACCGTATCCACCAACAAACACTGCTCAAGGTGGATTTCGTGGACAAAACGCGGCACGTCTTTCAAAGAGACCTAAAGACCTGTATGAACTTTGGCACGAGTATCAGCTCGGATCCGGTGGGCTAAAACCAGCCAAGGAGTTTACATCCATTGAGCGAGGCGCAAACAAGTTCGCCTACTCCAGGCGGAAAGTCTTCTGGGATGTTATTTCTCAATTGGTTCGCTCTGGACACACTAGCGACTCTGCAATAGATAGAGTGTATCAAACGTACGGTAGGAATCTCTCTGTGTCTAGTATTTTAGTTAAACTTCGTACAGATCGTAGACGTGGAGGACATCCAAGTCTGCGATTGTAGCACTTCAACACGGTTCAATTCAGCCAATCAAACCTTATCCTTCGAAATATTAGCCTATCAAAACTATGGTTGCAATCCAAGTTGCATAAATGACTAATATTTATACATTATTGGCCATTTGCAACCCGGGTTGTATTTCTTGAAATCCGAAGCTACGATTGGCTGTCTTCTCGGTATCAGCCAGATCTGAGGTCGATACCGTGCCTAGATGTGGAGTGCCGTTGCAACTATCGTTGCATGTACGGTAGCGTGAACGGTCGACTTTTGCAACCCTAGTATACAAATTTCAAGTCAAGTTACCTATAGTGAAGCTAAGTCACGTTTGCAACCGAGAAGGGTACACAGCTGGTATACAAAAACTAAGTCCAGGGTGGCAACGTGAAGAATTCAGTTTGAAAATACAATCCACCACAATGAGCACTAGCCGCTACAAGGCAGAGCTCGTAAAGTTCATGTCGTTCAAGGACGACAGGGAGTACACT